TTGGAGGCCTTCGTGCACCATTGTATGGATTCCATCCAAACTTCCTTCCTCTGGTAGTAAAACTGGAAACCTGTCCCAAAGCAATAGAAAGAACGCATACAATGTAGATGATTCTAGAAAACTGATGAATTGACAATTCGAGATAAAAGAATAAGTTCAAACGTGGATAAATGAGTGTTTTGAATAAACTACCTCTATGATTACATCATCAACATGCACATGGCATATGGGGAACCTCCTTCCAACTATTTCACATCGTGGAAATGTTTTCAGCACCTGAAATTATTCAACATGCCATCATGATAGATAAAGAATCTCTTGATCCAATAAGCAACCAGGTCACGAGGCAAAACAAATGGGGAAACGCATCTGACCAAATGACGAAAAAAGATAGACAAACCTCACTAAGCTCAGCCGAGGTTATGACATCAAAATCTTTAGGAATTTTCTTTAAAATAAGATCACGAACACAACCTCCCACAAGGTAGACATCATATCCTGTAATATCAGGAAAATGACCGCATATTGTTCAAAAAGAGACATATCAAGCACACAAACGAAGAGCTACCATTCTTCCGGAACCAATTTTGCCATTGGAAGTAATTTAACCAATTCTTTGTTTTGTTTTTTTTCCTCAGAAATACTAAGAAATACCTCTTTGCTTAAGGCCATTGAGGACCGACCTAGTAGATTTGGAGATCATTGAGGTCTGTATTCCGAGCTCCTTCGAACTCAATTTTTTCCATTCAGATGTATTTTTATACCCACCTCCTGCCACAATAAGCACAACTCACTCTTAGTTATCAAACTACAAATAATGCTCGGCAAGATCTTTGAGACTAAAAAATGGTAAATAACTCCAAAGAACCCACCTTGAGCATCGGAATAATTTCTCTGCCAATTATTTTCTTCCCTGGAATCATTTACATGTCCAGCTAGCCACTTAACCGCCGCAACGGAGCTGCAATTACGAACCTGAAAGTAGAATGTCAGCCACGCAATAAACAAACAGAGCATAGAGACAAGATTTGTGGTTGAAAAGAGAGGAGAAGAAAAGACCTTGTTGAAGCAATAAGGGAGACGGAAAACGAAGATGAATTGGGATCTGGAGGAGAGGCCTTGAACTGCAGGAATTGCCATGACAGATTGACAGAGATGACTTCTTTTCTCCTTTCTCTTAGTTGCCTGTTAAGGGGTTTAAGCCATTAGAGAGATTTGAAGCAAATAGGGTTTTGATCCTTCGAGCTCAGCCGAGTAAGGAACAAGGGAGAGTAAAAGTACTAATCTATCCTTCAAAAATAAAGAGTAAAACTGTAAAACATGATCTTTACTAATATTTTAACCCGTGCCGAATAAAATTTTTGTCGATTATAAAATTTTCTTCAATTTTTTAAAATTATGCTCTTTTGAATTTTAATTATTAGAATCTGTTTGGCTAAAACAAAATTATTTTTTCAAAAATTTCAACTTTACTTTTTCATTTAAGTTGCAAGTAGAGGAAATAATTTTTCTTGGAAAACTAATTTTTCTAAGAGGAGAAAATGACTTTTGTATGTTTTGGATGAAAGTTAATCTTTTATTCAATCTTCAAATACTTTAATTTCTCAAACGAGTTCACACATACTCATCCACTCCCATCCCCCTCCCTAAAAAATAGAGCACTGTAAAAAAATTTGAAATTGGTCGTGTATAAAGACAAACTAATCCCCCTAAAATATTTAAAGTTATAACAAAATATCTTTGTTTTTATTCAAATATCAACAATATTTCAATAAAAGATGTGGGGGGAGAACATTTTATGTGAAAATTATTTTCTCATAGAAAAATTATCTAGACACGTATTTTTTCACAACCAAATGCACCCTTAACTTTCAATATTCTTCCAACCTTTCTAGTTTCTCCCAATTTAATTCTTCTAACTTTTTTCAACTTTTTTTAAATTTCTCTCTACTCTTTTTAGTCTCATCTAACATCTTCTGATTTCTTTCAATAGTGATATAAAAATTATTTGCATGCACTTTTAAAATAATAGTTATAATAATATAATTATTAGTATTACCATAATTAAAACGGTTCTAGAGCCACTTGCTACAGGGTGGGAAGGTTTACCAGGATGTCGAGAGTAGAAATTATCAATTTTGTGAGCAGAGCACCGTAGGTATACCAATTGAAGCTAGTTTCATCTAGAGCCACTCGAAGTGAGTGGATGTAGAACCCCTCCATATTATTATTATTGTTATTATTATTATAAATTTATTATTATTATTGTTATTGATATTCTTATTCTTATTATTACTATGATAATTACTATTATTATAAGTATTAAAACAAATGTACGAAATTAACAATTTTACATGTGAATATATATATATATACAACGAATAAACAAAAACAATTTTCATCCAAACGTATTATAAAAAACCTCTCAAACAGGCACCACAATGACTCTTCGTTATTCATATTTGTGTTTTTATAATTTTGTTTCAGTTACTTTTTCTTTTTAATAATTTAGTTTAATTATTTTTTTGTCTTATTTAGTGAAGTGATTACATTAGATTACATTTCCTTTTTGATAAAATTTCTTTTTAAAATCAAAAAGTTATTTTTCCTTTATCCAACCCATTAATTGGGTATAAGCTTATGTATACAAAATATGCCACATGTTGTGCTCCTAGAGTAAAGGATATACAAATGTAACACCCTAAATCCGTTCAGGTCTACAGTCTCTTTCGGACAAAAGTAATGACTTGGTAATCGTAAAAATTTAAACCATTTCAAATACTTTTATTCACCACAAAATATTATTCATAACACAAAAAGTACGAAATTTTCATTGTTGCGGAAGCTTAACAAATCACAATAAAAAATATAATTAATTCATGTATTCTGAAATAACAGTTCAAAACAATCGCATTCATACCGACACACTCGCCCCCGTCTGCCGCCATGATCAATCACATCAATCTTTATTTTGTTTACCTGTGTGTAGCAAATAAAACATACTACACACTCTGCGATGAAGCTAAGTAAGGATATCTAATGTATCGAACATCCACATAAAATTGAATCTCAATTCATAATCAAATCATTTGATATCATGCACATAATGTCAAGGGTGCTCTTAAGCTATTTTTACTATAAAGCCAAATCATAACAATGTTCTTAAATTATTCTTAGTTTAAATCTAAATTTATATTTTCTTAATCGGACTCTTAAACTATGGCTAATTTAAAGCTATTTCATTTTATTAATTAGACTCTTAAACTATAGTTAGTTTAAGGCTATTTTGTTTGATTAACCAGACTCTTAAACTATAATTAGTTTAAGGCAAGTAATAATTAGACTCTTAAACTATAATTAGTTTAATGCAAAAAGATAATGAGACTCTTTAAGGCAGAAAATCTAACACCGGACTACTCACTTTGGATTAGGTGGTACCCCCAAATGAATAGATACTCAAATTTGATATATGGATCTTGTACGTACGTTTTAACCCGAGGTACCTGACATCATACCTGCAAGGCCTAACCAGATTAGTCAAGTATAGTATATTTTAAAGTTCTTCTAGACAGTCTTGATCATTCGTAATGATCTAAATGTATGAATAGATATTACATTGTAATAAATGTATTAGTGTTCAAAAAAATCTAAGAAGTGTATTGTTGATATTTTTAAAAATAATGCGATTATAAAGTATTTTTCTTTCACATGAGTGTAATAAAATGATAATGTGATTATAGATCTTTATATATAAATTTCAGACTTTAGGCTTTCAAGTTGCCATTTGACACTATTTAAGACATGCCACATGTCTTCTCTTAATGAAAATTAAACGTAAAATCTACACCAAAATTACCAAGGAATTTAAGATCTCATCAATTGAGTCTCTTATTTGCAGAAAGAAACTTTCTAAAATTAGGTATGTCACCTCTTGAAAAATCTTTTTTTCAAAAACACAAAACTCTAGAAGGATCTTAAGAGCATCAACAATTGCAAAGCAAAAATGGAATGCCATACAATGACGTGAAACATTTTAACCAATAAAAAATAATCAGTCAGCGTGTGGCACGCAAGTGAATGGAGTGGCATGTTCTACAATGACAAGTCATTATTTTATCACTTTATACATTTTTTTAAATGTTTTTTAAACATTAAAAAATATTTTTATTATTTATTTTATCAAAAAATTATTCAACTTTCTTATACATTTTTTTCCATAAAATAATTTTAAAAAATGAAAAAGAAATAGAAAAAAAAGAAGGATGAAGTGTCACACTCATACCTCACCAAGCAAGGCATTTTGACCTTGCCATGCCATTAGGGGTGGACACGGTACGGTTCCGGGACGGTTCCGGTTCCGGAACCGCCGGTTCCGGAACCGCCGGTTCCGGTTCCGCCACCCCATGTAACCGGAACCGTCACCGTGCCGGCCGGTACCGGTTCCGGTTCCCGGACCGGCGGTTCCGGTACCGGACCGGCCGGGTTCGGCCCCCCCTATTTTTTTTTGGCTTTTTTTTAAAATTTTTAAAGTATAAAATTGTAAATTTGCAATTGTTTAAGGAAAGAATGAAGTAAAAAATCTAAAAATGTAGTTGTTATTTAAATATTGAAAATGAGTAATACACTAACTGAAGAACAACCACATTTAATATCCTGACGGTTCAAAAAAAGCGACAAGGTAAAGAACCGTAAAGAAACCCTCGAAGGATCTTATATATCGCTCACCTAAAAAAATTAATTACATATTTACATTAACATAAAAAAAAATTATAACTTATTCTTCAGAACTCGGACTTCCATCTGTGGTTGCATTCATGTAATGCTCCGATTCGAGTTGGCACGATGACTCTTGAGCCCGACGTCTTGCCAAGAGCCAAACTTGGTTGCAAACCAGTGTTTCAAGAGATTCAGCGTTAAGACAACTTCGGTAGTCGGTTAGAATGTTTCCGCCAGCACTGAATTCTCGTTCAACTGCTACGGTTGATACTGGGACGGACAACACTTGTCTTGCTAGCATGCCGAGACATGGGAACATGTGTTCGTTCCGCTTCCACCATCCGAGCACGTCAAAATCGACATCGTCGTCATCGTAATCGCATGGCACACCCTGGTACATAGCAAGTTCGTTGTGCGAGCTTACTGTTGTACCACTTGAACTNATAACCCTTGATATTCCTTAAACAAATCCTCAAAAAGAGTTATAGCATTATCTCTTTCATTTTTCCATTCTACTAAATAGTTGTAGTAATAACTATTTTTATCTAAAAAAACAACTGTAGTAATACTCAATTAGAATTTTAAAATTTTCAATCTTAAATCGTGGATCACAAATAATACCTATTTTATAAATATCAGGAATGTACAAATAATAAGTACACCATTTATCTCTCATATGAGAGACATAAGGGTACAAATCTGGATCAGCCATACTTTCACGAAAACATGTTGCAATTGTAATGCACTCTTTAAAAAATGTATTTGTAGTTGGTTGGTAAACATGGGAAAAAGTAAGAGTTGCGTTATTAAAAACTTCTAATACGGCATTCAATTTTTCAACAATAACAAATTCAAAAGGATTAATGATTATACGAAGTTCATCCCTAAAAAATTCAGCAAGTTCTTCTTTATATCTTAGGATCTGTGCAATCAATTTGTAAGTACTATTCCATCTAATGTTGATATCTCTGGCAAAACTTATGCTTTTTTTACCCTTAGACTTACAGAACATCTTCTAGGATCTCGAAATAAGACGAGCCCCCCATTTGGGTTTGCACTTCTTGTCGTCCCTTTTTTTTGGCCTCGTATTTGGCGTACTCCACGGGATGCCTCGACCTTAGGTGTTTTTCCGGACCGCCATAACCGCCGGAAACTCCCATTTTTATGACGGTCCCGCAATGTTTACAAGTTCCATAAACTTTGCCATCTTTTGTGTCTTTGTCAAAATGATAAACAAATAAATCTGATTTATATTTTTTTACCTTTGTCCGGACCTCGATAGGTCTCGGGCTCACCTGCCTCCACGTCGACGCCGTTGCTTTGCGGTGTAGGCTCATCGTCCCCGTCAAGATTATCCAGTCCTGCTTCATCAACATACTCGAATAGACTATCAAGAGTGGGGAGATTCGCGTCTCCTCTACCATAATAAATCTGGTTGAATTCTTCATCCGTCATAGCGTCCCCGATTAAATGATCTGGGACAGTAGGAAACGAAGAGACGGAGTGTCTTCCTCAAGAACCGCGTCCGCGTGAGGTCGAACCGTTGGAGGTGGCTTTAGCTTTGCCTTTACTCAATCTTCGGTTGACGTCGCCCATATCCACGGACCGTCTACCGGACTCCCTCGACATTTTAATATATATTTTTTTGATATTAAAATAATATATTACTTTTGGAAAAATTAAAAAAATTTCGAAATTTTATATATTAAAATTTCGAAAATTTCAAAAAATAAAGAATATATTTAAATTATTTAAAGATTAAAGAATATATTTAAAAATTAATAACATTTAAAATTTTTAAAAAATTGAAAAAATTTCGAAATTTTATATATTAAAATTTTGAAAATTTCAAAATTTTAATGTATAAAATTTTTATATTATTATATGAATATTAAATGTATAAAAATTAAATAGAGATAATAAGATTGAGAGATTGATAAATTGAGAGAATGAGAGATGGATTGAGAAATTGAGTGATTTTTTATGTAAAAAATGTGAGAATTTATCGATAGATCCTTTCCCCCCCTCCCCCCCCTCCTCCCCTCCCCCACCTCAACGGCTAAATAGCCGTTTGAGGTGTGCCCCCCACTATTTTTTTTGGCTTTTTGCTGGTCTTGGCTTGGGATTAGAAATGAACAAAAAAAAAAATTTAACCGGTACTGGAACCGGACCGGTACCGCCGGTACCGGTACCAAAAAATAGGTACCGGAACCGGTACCGGTTCCCGGAACCAGTGACACGGCGACGGCGACGGTGACGGGTACCGGCGGTACCGTTGCCGGTGACGGTACCGTACCGGTACCCTGTCCACCCCTACATGCCATGATACAAGAGGAAGGAGGGGCATTCCTAATTTCACCGAAGGATGCGTGTCTCTTCTTCTCACAAAAGGAAGCTCTTACGAATCCAAAATGCCCAAATTAGCAACTTGCAACTTGCAAATTAGCAAATTCCCAATCAATAAATAAAAAGATAACACCAAATAATTCATTAATTCATTCGGAGCATTAGAGGAAGTTTATGGTACTGTGATCTAAAATTTTAGATGTAAAATATAAATTTTCTCAAATTCTTTTTATGTGTTCATAAGTGAATTTCTTTATTTTACATGACTACAAATAATCATTTTAACTATCAAACTCTATAAAATGAATATAGACCTAAGAAATACGTAGTACAAAAGAATTTGCCTTAAAAGAAAGATAATATTCATGTATTCATATATGATACTCCGTTTTAATTTATAGTATTTGTTTAGATTTATGATATTTGATTGATTTTCTTAATTAAATTATTTAGAAATTATAGTAAAATTAAAAAATAAAAATCACATAATCCGTATTTGAAAACAACATCAAAACTTTTTCAAAATATGAGGCGACATGATAATGCATTTTTTTCAAATACTACCTTCGTCCCTGAGTATTTCTCGAGTTTTGACTTTTTTCGATTAACTATTGTTAACTTTTGACCTATTATAAAATAAAATATATATTGTATATTAATTAGATAAAATTATATTTTGAAAATATTTGATATGATAAATCTAATAAATTACTCCCTCCGTCCGGTATTAAAGTTTACGTTTTGACTTTTGGTCATTTTTAAGGGAGGTTGACTAACCATGTGAAATGACCAAAAATGCCCCTTTCCAATCTCCTCCTGACCGACTGCTCAAAATCGGAGAACCCTATTGAAGAAACCTAAAAGTTTCCTCTACCCCCTCAAATCATTCCTCATCACCCAAAACCGCCGCCCACTTTCCGAATTCCAGCCGGCCGTCTGGCCTGACCCGGCTCTCCACGACTCTCTTCCCCTGTATGAGCACAGGAACAACCCACCGGAGGTCCACCAGGGAAGCCGCGGCGTCTTGGCATGATCTCGTCCTCAATCGTCCGTCCTCACCACCAATTCGAGAAGCAAAAGCTTTGATTTGGCAATCTGGATCGAGTAGTTGGCCTTGCTCTGGTCATCGGAGAGCGTGGGCGACTCCATTGACCGCTGGATTTCATCGATGGCACGCAAGTACAAGTCGGCCTCTTTCTGGTCACCGCCGAAGATCATCTTCTCTCTGGCGGCTTCAGACACAGTGGAGTCCCACCGGAGGATTATCTGATTCGCGATATCGTAAGATGCGGGTAGGGGGGAGAGGAAAAACAGATGAAGGTCGGGAGAAAGAAAAGAAGAATGAAAAGCAAGAAGAAGAAGAGGATGGACGGGGAGAGAGGATTGAAAAGGTATAGATCTGGCATTCTGGCGGATGGGAGAAAGAAAAAGAAGAGAAGGGGAACGAAGGAAGGAGAGGAGGAAGGGGAGAGGGAGAGAGAAATTGAAATGGTAGAGAAGGGTATTTTTGGAAGAGTGTGGGTTAAAATTAGAAATGTAAACTTTATTTTCGGACGGAGAAAAAGGAGAAATGTAAACTTTATTTCTGGACGGAGGGAGTATTTTTTTATCAATATCTAATATCATTTTTATTTTATTTGAGACCAAAATTCTCCAATTTTGATTGAAAAAAAGTAAAAAATGGAAAATACTTTAAATCTTTAATACATAAGGAGTAAATAACAAAATTAATTTAAAAAAATAATTATCGAATATTTCATAATAAACATACATTATAATTTGAGAGTAGGAGTATTGAGTACTCCATTTAAGACAAAAAAGAAAGAATAAAAAATTACAAAATTTGCGCCGCTGCAACCGCTTCCACTAGATTATCTCCCTTCTGGCTTTCCTCTCACGCTCGATCTTACTCCCCTTCCATGGCTGAGCTTCAGCCGTCAGATGTTCCAACCATCGCCGCCGCATCGGCAGCCGCCGCTTCTACTTCTACAACTCCAGTACCCCTTCCAGTTGAAGCCGCCGCTGCGAACAACATCGCCGCCGGCAATAGTTTCGGCCAAGGGTTAGCTTCGAAGCGCCAGCGCCGGCCCAGCGTAAGGCTAGGAGAGATCGGCGAGTCCTCTTACGACGCCCACCCTCGAAGAGGCCCCAAGTCATCGTGGCGCTTCCACAAGGACCCGTCTCTTGCGGCCAAGACCTCCAAGATCCGACCTCTAACCAACCTCGTAAACGGCGCCGCCGCCGCCTCCGCCGCTACTGGGGATAACTACGAAGATTCTAACATCAACGAAGTGAACAATTTCGGGTTCGATTTGGGGAACCGGAAGCCCAAGACAAAGAGGCCCACAAAGAGGGTTAGAACGAATTGGACTGTCTCGTCTTCAAAATTCGATTCCATCAACGGAGGAATTGAAGGAGAGAGCTTCTACAGAGAGGAGAAAGATAACGATGATTTTAGGGATTTCGAGCAGGAGGGGTCGGAGAGTCCATTGAAAGAGCAGAGCCCTGTTAACTCTATGGAGAATATGGGTCTTCAGTATTGGGACAGGAGGGCAAATCAGGCAAGACTTTCAGAGAGCAGAGATAATGACAATCTCAACAATGGAGGAATTCAAAACGAAATGATTTCTCAGGGTAGGAGTTCTGGAGTCAGAGACTGGTTGATTGAGCTGGGCCTGGGCAGATATTCCCCGGTTTTCGACATACACGAGGTAGATGATGAGGTGCTTCCATTGTTAACTTTGGAGGATCTCAAGGACATGGGGATTAATGCTGTTGGATCCCGGCGGAAGATGTACAATGCCATTCTCAAGCTCCGGAAAGGATTTTCGTGAGTTCCGAACTCTAACGGGTTGGTTCTTTCTTCTTCTAATTTTGTCAATTGGTCTTGTGGTTTTTCTTCCCTGATGTTGTTAACCTGAATAATGGTAAAAAAAATGCAACCTAGTTTTGGAGTTAGATTGACTTCTCATTGTTTTCTTCTGCTTTGGGTACTTAAAAATTGTTAACATGTAATCTTTGATGCACATATTCAAGTCACAAGAAATGGAAAAGCCTCGTTTGGTAATGTCTATGACCCGAGCACCTCAAATCCTAACTTAAAAGTGAATTCATTCAATTCATGGTAACAAGTACTCCTTTGGAAAGGTACAAGTTCATATAAATCATATACTCCATTCTGTTCTGAGTTCTGACTTGACCAGTATAATTTGCCTGTTTCAAATTTGCGTTTTCCGGAGTCTTTGTGCAACATAGGTAAGGTTTGGGTTCATCTCACCCTCCCTATAACATATTTCCGATTGAGAAATACTGGGTATGTTTGGTTTGGTCTAGTTCTCTAATGGCGCTGTTTGGCATTGTGCTTATTGTTTATTTGTTCTCCAATCGTTGTCTTGTATGTTTGACATTCCAGCTAATTGCTTCTCCAATGGCAATTTGATGCTTATTGCTTATTGAACGCCACTGCCAATTGCCAAACAGTCTCATTATTAAGAAATACAACTGAATATAGTGGTGGCCAACTGGTATGTAATAGTCTCACTACAAAATCTATGGGTTCATATATGAATTTTTCAACTGGTATGTTGCGACTTGTGAGGATATAAAAAGTTTGGAATCCATGGATTACAAAAGCCATCGTTCTCGTGTTGGCCGAACGAGGAAGATAGTCTTGCTTACAGCACTGTGAAATTGGCACCAGATGTTTTGTTCCTTTTCAGTTTGAAATGGAGATTCTACTTGCCCTTTCAATGTGCTTTTTCCAAGGGAAGTTTAACATTTTTTACCGAGACTCGATCCAAAAATTTTGGGTTTGAACAAAAATTTTGTCGACCGAACTCGAAGATTACCGAACCCGAAATGACCCACTAAAAATGAGTCAAATCGAACCGAATCTGAATTCGACCCGCTAATGTATTAGTTTTTCAAAATTATGTATTTTAATATGAAAATGATGTAATAAAAATATTGTTATAATTTATTTTCAAACAAGTTTTTTTTTAACATTAATAATTCTATTACAATGTAATATTTGTTCATACATTTTCAACGTATTAAAGCTCGTAGAGCTACTGCCCGTACTGGGGATCGAACACATGACCTGTCGAGCAATAGCAGTATTATTGGACTACAAAGTCTTTGACAAACAAGTTGTTAATACTACCAAATAGTTATCTTACTCCGTACATTTTTTTGAAAGTGGTGCATTTTTACATTTTTTAATTATTTATAATATTGTTAAATATATCTAAAAAGTAATTAAAAACTCAAAGTAAAAAATTCTAAGAGGTTTAATATATGTATTTTGATATTTTATTATTTTATTAGTGCAAAATACAAATGTTAGTATTGATGGGTGTATTTCACCCATGACCGGTCAACGGTCAAGACCGGATAGTTGACCGGTCAAAGAAGTCAAACTTGCAAGAGAGGTCTAGATCGTCGGCGAAGGGATGACTGGTTAACCAAAAGGTTGACCGGTATGCTTAGGATAGTATACCGGTCAAACTATACCGGCGACTAATTCACCCTACAAAGATGGCCACGCCAACCTGCAAGAACCAACCGGTGTAGTTCCTAGAGATTGGGGAAGTGTCGGCAAGAGGAATCCAAAAGGACTTGGACTGTAGTGTTTGGAATTGCAGGGATGCTGAGGGAATATTTCCAAACCAGAACGCGACAAGGGTGCCACCCCCCGCGCAAGATGACAAGGCAGCTCAGAGCCAGTCACTTCACACCACGCCAGCAGCATGCCCCCACGTGGGCGCACGTGGTCCTGCTCCCCAGCCTAGTATATATA